GATCAGACATATATTGACAGGATGAAGGCTTAGCAATGAGCTCACCATTATCACCAGCAATGGCAAAAACATCCATGGTATACTTTGTGGAAATGGCATGAGAATCCACATCACTAAAACCAACACTATGGCTGAAATATGTAGATGACACCTTCATACTCTGGCCACACCAGGAAGAGGTCCAGCTACCACTGGACCATGTGAACTCAATAAGATCATTGTGAAATCAATGGAGAGAGAAAACAACAACAAAATTGCATTCCTGGATGTATTAATATCTTGAACAAAGTATGGGTTCACAACATTGAGCAAAAGTCATGAGTAGCAACCCACAGACATATGAACAAGAAATGGTCAGTATAAGCAGTACCCTACAACATAACTACCCTGGGTACATGGCAGCAGCTCTGAAACTGGGATAGAAGAGTACAAGAGGATAACAACACTCAGGGTAGACAGACTAAAGCTGTTTTCTATGTGAAAGGATTATTGGAGAAAACCTTCAAAAGTGGTTTGACACTTCACAGACACCTCTTCTGAATAAGACCCCCGCCATGAGGAGAACATGACTAAGGACTGCGTACCTGCCATCCTGTGCAGTTGTGGTAAGAAATATAAAGGAGAAACAAGTTGTCCCCTTAAGGTAAGGCTGCAAGAACATCGTAAAGCTGTAACACGAGGGAAAGGGAGATCACTGTCCCCTGTGACATGAGGTCGAAATAATAAACAAAGAATATTACGGGAAAATACAAAAACTTAAGGAATCAGCATATATGTCAAGCCACAAAAATCTCCCAAGCTGGCCAAGCATAGAAATGAATACAATATAAGAACCAGTAATATGGAAAAGAAAAGCAGTAATAACAAAATATGAGCTCTGGTATAAATTTAAAAAAAAAAAAAAAAAAAAAAAAAAAAAAGACATTATGTTTATAAGTCCCAAAAATTTATACACTAATGTCCTCAAAGACACATATCCCAGTGAATAAGAGTGTTGGTTAGATTTGGAGATTTGAGTTGTGAGCAGTGGTAGACAAAACTTGGAGAGTTGAGTTAAAGGGAGTTAACCAAGACATCAGGAAGAGGCATGGCATGTCAATCTACTCTAGTGGACAAAATAAAAGGTTCAGTTCGAAATTGCAATCACCTGTAGAAGGCTGAATCTTTTTATATATCTATCTTCACTGGACTAATTTTGTTATGTTGATAGGACTACATGTGTATTCCCAAAGGGTGCTGGGAAGTTTAACTTTTCTTTTTTTTAAGCTAACTCATTTAGACTTTTGTAAGTAAATATTCCACACTGTGATATTAGAAGATCTGCCAGGAAGGGTGAAATGTTCTAAGAGCCAGGATACAAATTGTAGATGACCTTGTGATTAACGTTATTACATTTATGTTGTAGTGAATTATTTTCTCCTTTGATCATGATAGTATTTTTTTATGTCAAAGTTGTGGCCAGTCTCGTTACAGTGGGCAACCAATGAATTTGATGTTTTCTTTTGTAAAATGTCCCTTTTGTGTTCATAGATTCCTTGATGTTTCTCCTATGTATTTTTTGTGACTAATATTACAGGCAGTGGACCAAACTCTTCCTTCAGATTTTAGCTGATTGTTTTGTTTAGTATTGACTAAGTATTTTATTGTTTTGGATGTAGTAGTAATAACTTATGTTAAGTTTAGATAAATTCTTTTTGATTGTAGATGTGATAGAATTAGTAATCAGGATAATATTTTTTTTTTTTATTCATTGGTTTCTCAGGAGGGGGCCCATATTTTTTGGTTTGGGAATATTTTGTGGCCTTTTGTTTTGCACTGAATATAAAATAATTAGGATACTGGAAAAGTTTGAAAGTGTTTTCAATGTATTTCTCTTTATGTAAATAATCTGAGCTGTATTATGTTCTACCACCTATGATTTCCTTCTTGATGCACTATTCAGTAATGGAAGTATTGCCTTGTAAACTGAGGGCTACTTTCCAGTCACCCTCTTTATACCATCATTGATTCTATCATTATGGCTCCTTTATATATAAGCTTATGCAAGGAGTGGGAAAGGTTAGTGTAGATACATATTAATCTTGTACATGTATTTATATATTTATGTGTATTGAGATTTATATGTTATATAGTTATGTGCACTTGTATATGCATGTGCACCTATATATGTTCACGCTTTTTTTTTCTTTTTTTATTTTCTGTACCCACCTTTTATTTAATAGATTTCCAAATTTTTATACATTTTTTTTGTTCCTCACTTTTGTCTTTTCATTTAATATTTTATTATATATTCCCTTTTTTCGTCCTTTTTTCCTCTCATCACATATTCTAACTACAGCCAGTCTTTCTACACTTGACAAGTTGGTCTGCCAATTTTTGCTACAACTTGTGACACACAAGACATCTTTTCCCTTCCCCAACCTTCAACTCTTTTCATCTGTGTTTACAATCTCACACCCCCACACAACACACTAGTAATAATAGGCCTGCCTAACACTTTTACACTGATCAAAATTTTAAAACTAAAGTTTATTTTCATAAAAAGTTTTGCACATCAAGGAATCAGCCAGAGAGCAGGCTTTTGCTAACAATATGATTTCCACTGGAAAATACCTCATTCCACTATGTGCTTCATTTCTGTCATATATTTAATAAATGTTTATCGTACTGATTATATTATTACCCTTTTATTTGTCCTCGTTTTATTAACTTACCTATTTTGTGTGTGTGTGTGTGTGTGTGTGTGTGTGTGTGTGTGTGTGTGTGTGTGTGTGTGTGTGTGTGTGTGTTTTCTCTTCCTTTCTGCCGCACGATGATGGCCTAGGAGGTAAGATATCCGACTGATGTCAAATCAGTCGGGTTTCAATTTTGGCTTGAAGCAATTGGACATCTAGCCACACTTAGATGGTAGGTTTAATCAAAAAACAACTTTTTTGGTTTCATCTTCACACCATGAAACCGCATCAAAATTTTTTATGTAACCAAAATTGTTCAATTTAAGTGTTTTCACTATTGAATGACCACATCCAAAGAAACACTATTACACGTTAATAAAATTAAATTTAATCAACATTTTACCATTGTAAGAGAAAAAGATTGAACAAAGATATTAAAAACATTTAATTGACTAGTTTTAGGAAATAAATGCGAAATCTATTTGTTTACAATGAAGAAAAAAAAATGGAAATATGACATGACGTCTGAAATCTATTTGTTTCCGTTTCAAAAAAAAAAAAAAAAAAAAAAAAGAAAAGAAAAGAAAAAAAAAGGAAGACTTTTTGCAAAATTAAGTTAACAAAATAACGAGTAAAAATAAAAAAAAAAAATAGATACCAGTTTCATCTTAATGTTAAATTTTATGAAGTCAGATTTTTTGTAAGGGGTTTTCTAGTAAGTCAATAAGCCAATCACGAAATAAAGTTGTAAAAACAAGAAAAATGGATAAAGATTTTTTTTTTTTTTAAATAAATTTGTTTTTTTATCTAGAGAATGCACTTAAATTAGATATTAAGAATAATTTAAAATAGTTCTTAATTTCACTTTTAAGATGCGTATATTTCCAGATATGCGAGTCTAAGTGTAAAAAAAAAAATTGTTTTCTAGAAATAAATTTCTTTCTATCTAGTGAATACCTAAAGAATTAGATATTAAAAAAAATAAAAGTAAATCGATTGATTTTTTCCTTGTTTAGAAGAAATTTATTTGCAAAATCCCAATAACAGTTGAATGGTGTACCAGAAAAGAATTACTATATTTTTAAAAACATGAGGGGCTTCATTTTTTGGCTTTTTAAAAGCCACATCATAAACTAATTTCTGGATAGCGATACCATTTTCTCTCTCAAATGTGCTGTCCAAAAACACAAAAATAAAAGATAGTTTATGTGATGATTTCTTTCTTATCTTACCAATTTGTTAAATAAATATGGTAGTTCTCTATAGTTGACAATTTATTCAAAGAGTTTAATAAATAAACTTTAATCGAAAACAAGTGTCTGTCAGTGCTAGACAGTAATAAATAAATGTGTGGTAAAAGAACTTTCATATTATTGGAACTACTATCAGTTCTTTTCCCCCCACCCCCGGCCTCTCTGCTTACTTTATAATTTTTGGAGGAATTCACTTCCACGCGTCAGAGAAGAAATGAATACTTTCCTGGTTGTAGTTTAAGGCGTCATCTAATTGAGTATACAATTTCAACAATATTGATAAAGATTGGTCACTTTCATTTTGCAAGACAAAGATATATGTAAAATTAAACTCATTTTTGGCTACTCAAAGCCAAATACCATTTATATAAAAGCACATACAAATTACTAATTACATATTTAAAAAGATTATTTTATTTTCTTTCCAGACATATGAATATTTTTAAGATAGGACCAGAAATACACAAGAATTTGCAAGTTGAACAGACTAAGTTGCAAATTTATCAATCTCAAACGAAATCAGATATTGACTGGAAATGCTATCATTACACAAGAAAATGAATGGCTTCCTTAGAAAGCCAAAATGCTAAATTAAAAATACGAAAAACTGAATCATAAACTGCAGTATCAAGGGGGAAAAAACAAACCAATACCGAAACATAAATTACCAAACTGACCCCACACAACCACCTAGGTGCCAACGTCAAATTTTAAAGGAGAGAGGGAGAGAAGGAGGAAGTAAGAGAAGAGAGACAGACGGAAATGGTGCAAGGGACAGAGAGGCAAGGGCAAGTAATTTCTGCATTAATATAAATCATCCTTAGCTCAATTGTGGTATGATACCTTTCAAATAAATTAGGATAATCTGATGTTCAAAATGACAACTGATCATTCAAATGATTGTGAAAGTAAACATGTAAATGAGTACAAGAAACCATGTAAAACATTTTTATTTCAATACCTGCAATAATCACCAAATAGATACAAAATATTTTTATTTTTATATAGATCAAAATATCTTTAAGCAAACATCTTTAAAAAGATTTAGTTTCTCAAAAATTTATGTACTTACCTCAGCTCTTTTCAGCATTTCCCATTTATTTAATATTTTCATGGCATACACTTTTTCTGTTCCTTTCAACTTGACAACAGCGACCTAAATAAAATAGACAACCATTTCTCTATTAAGAAAATAAAATAAAACAGCAACATTTTTTCATATACCATAAAACATATCAATTATGCTTTTATATACATAAAAAAAAAAGTTTATATAAGTTTGACAATGAGTACTTAGCATTTATTTTTTTTTTTTTAAATTGTAGAATATTTTATCCTGCATTTTTATAGCTATATATTTTACATTAAAATAAAAATAAAGTATAATGGACACTACTAAATGTTCAGGGATAAGAAAAGAATAATAATGAACCGAGTCATCTATTAGAAACACATCTATCCTCTCAGAAATAGAATTGTGTGACAGTAATCACTTGATATATATGTATGTGTGTGTGTGTGTGTGTGTGTACACACACAGTGATTGAAAGCCATCCAGGAGTCCTGACTTAATAACCTGTGACTTTTTTTTCTTTTGGGGTTGGTTCAAGGAACAAGTTTAACAAGACTTTGGAAGAGCTTAAAAAGGTGAATACAAGAAGTTATGTCTTCCATATCACAAGAATTTCTGATGAAATCAGTTGACACGATTCCTGGGCTGCTCGAGAAGCTAGTAGCGAAATCTAGTGCCTATATTGAATTTTAAATAAAACCTCATGCTAAATGCTTTCCCTCTCCTATCCATTTCTTGTAAAAATTATAGATAATAAATTATAAGTATCTTAAAATGAGAGTTACTTTTCAATCACCCTATATATCTCACTCACTCATACATACAAAAGGTATAGAGAGATGTATACAGAGAAGGTGAAACAATGTTACTAAGAAAATCTATGTGATGCATCCTTTTCTTACATGATATTTTAATATTGTTTACAATAATCAATTTTTAACCTGAATAGTTAGAGTGGGAAATGAAGATTGAAAGTAAATATATATTTGTCACATTTTATATCAGTTTCTTACAGCTTAATATAAAATGTTCATGTTCAGGAGCAATACTAAAATAGAATAGAACTCACTGACTGTATTAGTTTTCCTATCTGTCAGATGACTGATATCTGTTTATTTTCAATATTCAAGAACCCAAACCCAATTATTCATAAGTATGCAACTTCCCTAGCAGTTTTCCCCATGGGATCAGGTGTTTGCAACAACAGTCAAATGCCATTTCAGTCACCTTGCCACCTCACAGCAAACCTCAATTGGTTACAGGATTGCTTCATTGATATGGTTATTTCTACAATTACTGATATTGGATTCTGTAAAAATGCTAGTTTAAGACACCAGCAATAAGAAGCAAAATTGCTGAATGCTTTTAGAATCTGTCTTACATTCATATTGTATACTTGATTAAACAAACGTTTTTTTATAGGATAGGAATTGTTTTAAATAAGCTATTATAATAAGCTTATATTTTAGTCTATGCTTTTTTTAGAATCCTTAAGAACATAAATGGCATTTCTTGTAAAGTGTTGTCATATTTTTTTAAATTATAAATAAAGAGGAAGACTGGAGATTATATTAGCTATTTCATTATGCTTGAAGCATGAAAGATGAAGATAACAGTCTATATAGATCATGAAATTACACTTAATCTTTGTTAAAATGTAAATAATGTAAATAGCGTAAATAGTTACAATACCTATCTTGGAAATATAGTCAGATGTTGAAATATTACTGAGTGTGTGTGCGTACATGTGTGAGTAAATTTTATTCTTTACAAACATTAGAAAAGATTTGATAGACCCATGTCCATAAAAAATTCAAAATATCAATATTTTATATACTTATATACTTTTATATACTTTTATATAAACATAAAAATGAACCAAAGATTAACTCAAATTTAAGAGCAGCTAGCATGTAGACATTTCTAACTCAATTTATATAAACTGATTTATCCTTAAGAATCAAGATGGCTTGAATATCTATTATAAGAAAGTTAATACATTAAAATGTAATAAATTCCCCCACTATGTTCAATATTAATTTTTTTTGTGTCATCATATTTTGATCACCCACTACCACCACTATAATAGCGTGTGGAGTAACAACAAATATATGAGATATTGTGAGATAAAAGTTAAGGAAGTTGAAATTTAAGTTTTCCATACTAAATCAATAAAAGTATGACATTTTTATAAAGATTCCAAATTTTGTGTTTCCACTTATTGCTTAAATTACTACTTGCTATAGTTATGATTTATAAGCAATTGTTTTCTTGATAGACAATTATTCTTAATGTCATTTTAAAATCTGTTATGAATATTTTATTTGAAATGTTGATTCTGTCTATATTATGAATTTATGCAAGTTTAAAATGATTTGTCATTACTTTTATGTTTAATATTCTTTTCTAAACAAAAATTCTGTAACATTGTAAATTAATCTTTATATAAAAAAAGGATTTTAAAATAAATTTAACACTTTAAAAGATCTAATTATTTGAAATACAAAATTTTTAATTTTCTCTTATTTCTGCCCTAGTAATAAAAACCATCATTAGGAATAAGTCCCATTAACTGGCATTTTCACAGAATCTCTTTGAAAATATTATTTTAAGACTACTAATTGAGTGGGCATTGTATCATAATTTAAATTATCAATGCTCAAAGATTACTTTTGAAACATTTTCTTTACCTAAATTCCGATTTTTAAAATCAGAATATTGAAACCTTTCTTTTGTTGGACTTTGTTCTTAAAATATGTTTCTGGTTAATTTCTCTGACAAAATCTATCTATCCAACCTCTTGGTTAAGATTTATACTTTATGTAAAGTAATTTTAATATTTAATTGTCAATTCTTTTAACATATACATATTATTCTATCAATTTCATAAACTACTGATTACAACTGCTACTAAGATCTGTTGCTTCACTCACTATCTCTTTAATTTGTCATTAGATGATATATTTTGTTGGTTGAGACAATCAACTGAAAGTAATGCATAAATTCTCTTTCAAGATTCATTTGCAGCTATCAAATTCTTCAATAATATCTGGATAAATATGAGAAGCACTCCCACATCCTCAGACATTACATCAACTTTAAAGTGAGAAATGTTTTAGAAACAAGCCAATGAATGAAAGAGAAGACACATTATATGCAACATAATTAGTTGTTCAAATAAAGATTTAACTACAGCACAATTAAGTACAATTGTTGACTAAAAGGAAAAGCCAATGTATTCAGCCAGACCACCAATTAGTTTCCCTGATTGGATAAAGACAACAGTGAAACAATCTAAGTTTTGGTAGTAATGTGTATTTCATAGGATTTTGAAAACAATTAACTATAGATTTCAATTAAAGGGTGTGGCTACAATCACAAATCATTATTTTGTACAAGGAAACACTGTTAGTAGCTTATCCTGACAAAAAAAAAAAAAAGTTATTGTCATGTTCATTTAATGAGTGCCTAAGTGAAAAATAATTATTTACAGACTAATGTCCTCATCTTTGTTATTACAATCATAAAAGAATTATCATTTTATATAAGAAAAGATCTACAAAAGTAACTGGAATGAAGTGCATTAAACATGCATAATTATGATTGTCTTTGAATTTAAATTTTAAAAAGTAGCCATATTGTATAAAGAAAACATTTAACAGTCATAGGTCAAAAGAAAAAAGTTTTTACAAATTCTTTCAAATTGAAACATGACTAAGTTCTTAGCTTGAATGTGCTTTGTCATTATGAATGAATAAATAGTCATGCCCCATCTGCATGTTGCTGTAACTCTAGACATTGAGATATAAATTATTGATCTAAATTAATTCGGGAAAAAAAAAGTCATTTTTACTAAACATTTTTCTACATACTGATGCATAAAAAAAAAAATTAAAAAAATTAAAATAAACACTTGTATTTTAGAACTTTAAATATTTATAGAGAAACATAACAGCAGAGTATTTGAATAATCAGGCTGGTAGATGTAGTTGGATTAAAAAAAAAAAAAATACTGTTTAATTACAAAAATAGAGCTTCTACTGGAATACGAGTATCTATAAAAAAATAATGTTTAAACAAAGTAAGTTAAAAAGTATCATAAAAAAATTTTAATATTAAAGCTTCCTCCACAAAAATAAAAAAAAAAAAAAAAAAAAAAAAAAAGAAAAAAGTGATTTCATTGATGGTTTAAATACTATGAGAACATATTTTATTTTTACTTACAAAACTAAAGTAATAGGATATTTTTTAGATTGAAACAAAAGCTTAAAAAGCTGATTTTTTTAAAAGCTGTGTTTTAATTGAAATTATTTTCATAAATGAAATACCTATTTTATATCCAGATATGTCACCATCGTAAGTTAATTGCAAAAAAAAAAAAAATAAATAAATAAATAAATAAATAAAATAAACCTTACACTAGTAGCTCAGACTTTACATTTATACACCCCCTAGAAATTTTCATAGACTAGATTTATGAAATGACAAAATCAATTAAGACTAAAAATTACATTATTTAAACAAAGAATTAATATAAAATTCAAGCTCTTAATTACAATGGTGTTTGATATATAACTAGAGCTTATATATATATATATATATATATATATATATATATATATATATATATATATATTTGTGGGTGTGACGAATAAATTTTCACCATTTTATTTTTTAATTTTTGTGCATGCATATTGTTTTTGTCAACTGCACAGTAGTTGGGTCAGTTAGGCACTGTCTGTGAGAAAAAGAGTACAATGATGCAATTCACTCTGCCAGAAATTTGGAAATGGCATGCTGTACTGCTTCGCATTCATACTGGAAGCTCCAATATGAACATTTCAGAGTGTTTGGGTGTCAATCTGAATATAGTCAGATGATTTGTAAAGAGTTGGATGAGCCTAATAGTGATTAAGAAGGCATTTGGAATGATCACTAGTGAGAGAAATGTTATACCTTCATTTATCTTCCCATGAGGTCTCAGACTCAACACAGAGGCCTATATGAAGTGCCTTAAGGAAATAGTGCTACCTTGTGTCAAGAGGGTGGCGGCTGGAAGACCCTATGCCTGGCAGCAGGACTCTACACCATGTTACACAAGCAGGAGAACCCAGTCATGGCTGTCAGACAATTTCTGTAATCACATCACCCCTTACATCTGGCCAGCTAACTCCTTAGACTGCAACCTCTTGATTATTGTGTGTGGGGTGCAGTTGAGCAAGAGACCAAAACTCCTTATAACAACAAAGATGAAATGAAGGCAAGGATTATGGCAGCATTCACCAACTTAAGGAGACCATCGAGAAGATAGGAGATACTGATGTCATCTGGAAGCCAAAGTTGAAACCAATGACAATTTTATTGAATAAATTTACTCTAGCATTTCAAGATATTTTTGTGTAATTTTGATAAATATATGTTAAAATAAGGTGTCAATTATGTAGGTTTTATTTTGCATAAAATTTAATATATTGTGACTATTGGGCAAATTATCCTTACCAACTAAATTAAGATTTACTCAATCTTAATAGAAATTTCTGGCAAGATAAATGACCTACTATGTTTTTGCCTGCTCATTATTACATAAGAGATCAGTTTCAGTGATTTGATGACTGACATTTCTCACCCATCAACAAATCATAGTAGACAAAACTAAAAATATTCAAATGCACTTGTATCAAGCAGCAAGTGTTCCTGCTACAAGAGATTTCTCTCAACAAGAATTTGATTACAGTTGTATAATAACACATACAAATGCAGATGCTATTCATCAAGAGACATTTTTTTTTTAAATATGAAAGCTAAAAAAGTAAGTATTTTTATAAAGAAAATTTTGTTGTTTAAGGAAACTTAATTTTTGAAAATGGTGATAGTAATACTACATTAATAGCTTTAATATTATATATATATATATATATAAATTTTGCAATTAAAAAAAAAAAAAAAAAAAAATTCTAATCAATTTTCATTTTTTTTTCTTGCCAAAGCAGAAAGCTAGGTTTAAGGACATCGAAAGTACACAAATCTATAAGTAATGATTGCTTGTACACAAAAAGAAGGACAATATTATCTACCAAATGTACAGATAATTATAAAGTTTTATCAAAAGAAAACATACCTATTCATAAAAAGATAAAATGAAGACATAAAATATTAAAGTAAATTAAAGAACATTTAACAGTTAACCAATTATTTTGGTAAAAACATTTCATTTTCAGATAAATTTCTAATTTGTTTTTAATATATTAAAAAACCTTGAAGTACCCAAATGGTGGCTAACAGCTTTACCAGATGTAGGAGTTAACAACTGGACTCATTTCAAGCTCAGAAGTGCATAAAAGTATTGAGATTAACATATAAACATAACTGGTAACTGGTTTTTTAATGTGTTTATTCATCTGTGTCTGTAAAAACACACTTTTGGTATATACATATATACATGTCTATGCTGGGGTAGTGATTAACAATGAGAAACTGAAATTAACTTGCAATAGCTTTACTAAGATTTAATGTTTGAATTCCATGAGATGTTGAATATTCAACAATTTATAGAGTAATATAAGTATTCAAAGTTGTAGAAATATCAAATGTAGGGTATAATTTTAAAATATTAAACTGTATTACATGAAATCATGCATATATGTATGACAAACTAATAAGGCAAAAAAACATTGATAAAAACTGGTATAAGTATTTTACTTCTTGAAAGTACTGAGGAAACTTAATACAAGTTTGTATTTAAACAAGCTATAATATTTTAAGAAAAAAAAAAAAAAAAAAAAGTACATGTTCTGAAGTACATGCTGAATATTCTAAAGTTTTGCCATCCACATTCAATGTACTCTGTATAATATATAAGCACTAATATATATATATATATATATAGTTAGAATTTCTTTAATAAAAAAGTTCCATGAAAATGCTTTATAGCCTGCCCTGGATGGAATAATAGCTTCATTAAATAGTATACTAACAAGTACAGCTAGTGGAAAAAGAAACCAATATGCAAATTACCTAAAAATAGATTGTTTTAATGAACTAGTATATGAGGTTGTTTACCAGCAATACAAACCTGCAAACAGAATCTGAATAACTAAGTTTCTCTTAATCTATTATGGTTTATATTATAAACATAAACCTCACTCACTGGATTTTTAAGATAATGCTATTCAGATTATAGAAATTATTTGCTATGTTAAAAAAAAAAAAAAAAAAAAAAAAACTTGCATATTTTAAGCACAAATAGATAACGAAGTTTTAGAGAAAATGGAAACAAAAAGAGTTGAAATTTCTAGGGCACATAATGTAGAAAGAGGCCTTGGAAAATGTTTGATACTCACAGGAAGGCAAGGAGGACAGAGGAAAATAATGCATAACCTACCCAGAGAGCTTGAGTAAATGGATGATGGAGTGAAGTTTAAGAGAGATAACAAAAAGACAAAATTATTAAGAGCTACAAAGGACAGGAAATTGTGAAGATCCAGAAAGGACACAGCACAAAGAAAAAAATCTAAGAAAGTAAATAACAGAATACAATTTCATTGGTAACACAATTAAAGAAAATTATATAATTGTACATATACTAAATTTTAATGTAACTCAATTATTTTATGCATTCTATTTCCTGAAAAAATAAAATAAAAAGGACTACAAAATTGTAATTAATGTCTAAATAGTGATGTTTCTAATATTTAAAAATGCATTTATCATCTTTTGTTTTATATTTTTAACAAAAAGCAGTAAAATATTTCAGATTTCAGTTGATCAAATTATTTTTAATTAAATTAGTTTAATCCAAAACTGACTTTATCTTTAATATTTTTAATTATGAAAGTATTAAAAAGTTGTTTGAAATCAGCATATGTCAAACTGATGTTCAAAATAATGATAAAATTCTACATAAGTTTAATTTAAAAAAAAAAATTAAAAACAAAATTTCTTTCCAATAAGAAAAGTAAAAATTCTTAGACCGAGATTTTTCAGATAACCATGTTTGTAGCTAGCTTTTAGAAGGTTAATAAAATTATTAAAGTTTTATACATTTAAGAAAATGTTAAGTTATAGATCAGTATGTTAATGCAGAAACAATATTTGAATGACTTACTATTTATAATATACACACACACAAAGATTAATACAAATATAAAATTTGTCACTTTGTTGATTGATGATATATTCAGCACCATAACTCCAGAATTTCATAAATGAGCCACTTTGTAATTGTATGGTCTACTTGTCATATTTCAGCAACTGACTACCAATTTTCTCATTTCCATTATTTTTAAGTTAAAAAAATAATTTATGCACTATTTGTGTTAAGTTGATTTTTTGTGTGTGTGTGTGTGTGTGTGTGTGTGCATGTGTACATGAGTATGCGTGGAGTGTCATGAATAGTTCTCCTTTTCATCATTTACTTGTCTATTGTTCTTTTTCTGCTCTGAGTGTCAAAGATAATTTAAAAACATCATTTCTGCTAACAGGCAGGATTTATTGGGTATTTAAAAAAGTTTGTTTTCTCAGATATTTTGTGGTTTTCTTAAGTAATATTAAGTGTATTCTGTTTTTTATTTCTTGTTTAAATATTTTTTTAAACAATGCTTAAATGACAAAGTAAATATTTGTTTACATGCTTCCACTTACCCATTATTTCATTTTTATTATTTAGTAGTTAATATTTTTTTTTTTACTTGCCTGGGCAATATCTTAAATATTAGGGTTTTAATTATAGAAGGTTAGATTTACAACTATATTTATTGTTGTTTGAATATAATATAACATAATATAAAATATAATAAAAAATAAGGTATAATTGTTTATTAAACTCAATGAAAAAGTATAAAGTCTATGTCAAAAACATCCTAAGCTTCAAATTTTTGTTCAGATGCAAAATGATAGATAGATGGATTGGACAATCAAGATTTTCATGCAAGTTAAATGAGAAAGTTTTGCAATGGGCATATTCATAAAAAGCTTATATTTTGGATAATAAAAAATTAACTACTTTGTGAAGACTAATCTAAAATTATATTCTAATTCTTTATTGGATACACAAATTTTAAACTACTTTTAATGGCAGAAAAGCTTAAATTATTGCTTCCATTGTTTTTAAGAACAGAATGCAGATAAATATATAAATTTTATATTATGGAAATTTAAATTGTGTAACATTTAAAGTTTCTATTCCAACAAGAAAGAATGAAAGTATATATTCTTGATGAAACAATGACAATTATGTGAATGATCTTAAAACAGTAACTGGTAAAAAGTACTGTCAAAGTTTTGATTCATTTTTTAACCTACCTCTCCAAAGGCACCTCTTCCAATTATTTTCAAAGTCTCAAAGTCCTCTCTTTGCAGTCTGCTCTGTTTAGCTCTTTTTACAATGGGCCGTGCTGAAAAGAAATGTTAAAGATTTAAATATGATATTCTTTAGTATATGTTAACCAATGAAAATATCCAAATTGTGGTTACTTAATTCACTTAGTATAGCTATACTAATCAGATAATTCTTTATAACTTATCGTGTTACCAAATTTATTATGTCTACTCAACTTGTATTCAGTTCTTTTATATCAATTTCTGCAGTTCTAATTGGAAAAATCCTCAATAAGAACAAATCAAAACTAGTAATTTTTTTTATATTATTCAGGCTTAGAATTGAATTTAATAAAAATAGTTTATGTAGTTTTTCAATAGCAATATATTTTGAAAGAAAAATGTTGAGAATTAGATAAGCACAAACCAAAAAGCAAGGTCAAAAGATTTTATGACCTAATTCTTTGATATTCATAGGTAGAATCAAATAAATTCAAAACAAATTTAGTTACTGTAAACCAACAAGTAAAATTGTACAAGATTTTATGGTTATTGTGTTAAATTGTATAAGATTTTATCCAAAATCTTAAAGTAAGCATGGAAATATATCATGAAAAAAAATATCAATTCTGTTCAGTGAATCTAGAAAAATAAATCTAATTCAAACTTCAATTGAGGTCTGATATGTAAAAATGTCAAGAGTGTCAATGACGAGTAAAAACAAAATTCTAGTTTATAAAAAATGTGGAATTAAGTAACAATGTTTTTTTCCAAGGAGCAAAAAGTGGTTTGTGTAACGTAATTTGAGCATAAGTACAATTGGTACCCACTAAAACACCTTAAAAATTTAACAAAACACACTTTATATATATATATATATATATATATATATATTACTTTATTAGGCTTAATGTAAAAAAAATCCCAAAAACTAACACTTAATATGTACTATTTGTTTTATACAAATGTTAGTTTCCCTCTTTTAGAAAAGAAAATAATTTAGTGGAATAAGATACATCATAAAAGCTGGGAATTTTACGCAGGGAATAATTTCAAGTTTACATGAAATAAATCTAACAGTAATTTCTTAGAATACTGTTTTTGCTTCTCTTGGAAAAAAAATTCTTTAATCTGAAATAAAATGACTCCAAAGGTAGAAAAATTAATGAGTAAAATTAGTATCGAGTAAAATTAGTATCAAATAAAAAAAAAATCTTAAAAGTAAATAAAAATATTTACATAATTTAAAATAAAGTCAAACTTGTTGGGAATGTAGTAATAAAGATACATGTTTAAAAGATTACTTGATTCTTTTCTATTGCTGTAGATATAGATAGGTGAGGAAAGAAATTACTAACAAATAATTTCATACTTTCATTTGGAAAAAAGTAAAGTGGCACTTTGGATATATTTTCACATGGCTTTCTTAAACAACAATGAACTAAATACATGAGAAAGTTTGTTATTTTAATGACAGGCTTTAAGCATGAGTGATGCTTAATATAGAAACAATACTAAATAACTTGTATACTAGTTATGCATGTTAGAAGGATAACTGGTGCAACTATTGGTATGAGAAAAAGGTTTACTAAAGATTGTATGAGGAATTCAAAAGTATGCCACAATGAGAAAAGCAAGTAATATTTAGAGAAAAATAAATTTCAACTTTTATTAAAATTCTGAACTTCATAACATTTACGCAAATTAAACCAGGCTTTTAAAAAAGCAAGAACATTTCTGATCAGATAAAAAAAAAAACAAGATTTTTCAGCAAGATTACTTGTAGGAAACTAAAACTTATAATAAAAAAAGTTTCATGATCAAAATCTTTGTTACTAAGAGGGAAGATTCCTAGATTTCTTTTGATTATTAAATTATATTTTTTTAATCTTTTTGATAAACTGACATTTTGGTTAAAAATCGTTTTTCTTACCTCGAGTGACCATAAATTAGTATGGGAAATGTGAATGTGTTTTTTTTTTTTTTTTTTTTTTTTTAAATATATAGATTTTGAAATTCTTGCAAAAAATAAAAGCTTGGATTTTAATTTTCAGGACTTACTCAGATTAAGTTAGAAACTAATTTTTAGAAAAGCTTTATTCTGTTTTTTTTTTTTTTTTTAGATGTACTTAGAATACATATCTAAATTTTAAAGACTACTGGGTAACTAAAAAAAAAATATACGTGGGTTGTATTCGTCAAGTAATTTTTACAGTTATGTACGCAGACGCTTTAAAAAAAATAAGCATTTAAGCTCTTGAAATTTGTTCATTTTAATTCAGATTAATCTGTTAATTTTCCTCAAATAGTTTCAGAAAAAGTGTTTTTTTAATAAAATATAATTATACTGTGTTGAAAGATTTATCCATATGGCCGATTTTAGCAATTTCAAAACAAAAAATAATTCCAATTAATAAATTCGGTTTGAAATTGATCAAATCAAAGTATTTTTTTGATTATTGCAAATTAGCTTGGAATTAAAAGTAAAACTAAAAGAAAAACTCTAGCGTTTTGTTTACATATGCATTATTGAAGTTTGTGAAATTCTAATTTTGAAACTGGTCAAGGATCAATAAAGATATAGTTTTAATTTGTTTTAGCAATCTGAAAAAAGTAAAAATCTAAGACTAAATTGCTTTACTTTTATAAACTAAAAAAGTGTATGATGAAGACAATCTGTTTTTTAAAAATGACCAAAAGAAAAAGATATTCAAATAAAATCATTCTTTCTTTATGCTTCCGACTAGTTTTATTTTGTTTCTGAATTTTTGTGCATATTTTTTGTAATATAACGTACAAATTGATAAAGCATATTTCATTATGTGACTGTAAGAGTACTCAGTAAGAAGACCTGTTTGGCAAGTTAACTAGGTTCTAGCACACTGCTTAAGGTAAATAACGCATGTAATTACACAGTTATGTTGTAGAAGTTTGGAAGTGTCATATCTCACATGGGTAAAAAAAAAAATAAAAAATGGATAATAAAATCATATGAATTATGATAATTAAAATAATTTAGAAATAAAAAAAAAGATGTATGAATCCTTCATCCCAAATCAAATTGAGTTGCGAAAATGCTTCATCCCAAATCGAATCGAGTTGCGAAAAGAAAATTTTAAAACAAAAAAAAAACTAATACAGCTGGTTTCTTAACGTTTCGGAAAGGTGATAAATAAACTCAGTCACGCAACAACTCAAATCTGAACTCATAGCTGAAATTAAATTCAGTTACAAAACTGTAACTGACCCCAAAATAAGCATAAAAGATATCGACAAGAATGTATTATTGAGTTGGGAAAAAAACCCCAAAAAACTAGGATTCTAATTTTTCTGTAGTAATAAAAGATCCAAACTGTTTAGTAGTTTTTAATGAAAATTTTTTAAATTTTAAGTTAGAATTGCAGATGTCAAAAATAAGGAATCGTGTGGGAGATCAATCTTCGTTCGTTTGTTACATTTTGATTTTTGAATGATTTAAACCTGAAAAGAAAAAAGGTTTACTTCCCCCGGTAAATGGATATATTTTAATTAAAAAATAAAATGTTAACTTATTTCCGTGCAAAATGATACAAGAATACGTTAGCTGTTAAAAGCATATATGAAATATGATTTTTTTCTAATGAAACTTATCATTTACTGGTGTGTCTCCGACGTAGTGGGACTTACTTGCATAACAGTAACACTGTGACTAACAGTAACACTTTGACTTACCTTATTTCAAAATAAATGAAACACAAAAAGTTGATGTCCGTAAAAAATAAGATATAAATTTTGAGATTTTAATTAAAAGAAAAAAGTACAGGTATTCATAAAAAAGAAATAAAGGTCATATGTTGATACAGGCAGTACCAACAAAATAAAACGTAAAGCTGTACATACAGAATCTTATTCTTTTAAGAGAGCTAGACAGTGAGCGATAGTAGACATACTACTAACTAAACTAAACTTTTATCATTGCTTTTTTCGTCTTTATCAACACACGAAAGGACTTCTCATGCTGAAAGTCGTTAAATAGAAAAAAAAGTTCTGCCAAGGTTTGGAAGATTAAATAACAATTAATAGCTGCCTTAGATGTTTTTTTTTGTTTTGTTTTTTTTTTTTTGTTTTTTTTTTTACAGAGATGTTTAATTTGATGCGTGAGAATTTAAAAAGTTAGAGGATCTTTAGGAAAAATCTACACGAGACAAAATATATATTAATCAATCAATTACAATACATGCACACGAGTATATTCAATATTCGAGATTGTTTGACAAATTGACACAATATTGTGTCAATTTGTCAAACAATCCCAAAGATTTTTCTGCTTCAGTCTATGCACAATGCTTTTAGTTTTAAACTTCTCTTCAGAGAGCAATTATTAATTTTCAGCTACACACTTAACTTTCTCTAGTCACTATGAGGAGAATTGCCTGACTATTTTGCATCTATTTATTACTCATTTTCTTTCATTCCAGTCGAAAAGAAAGAAGTGGCTCATATAATTAACGTTTTTTTATAAAATCTTTGTACATACCTTATTTAAAAACCTAAGACCTAAGCAAATTTGTTTTGTTTTTTTTATTCAAGATTATGCTTTTTTACGGCCTTATAAAATTAAAAAAAAACGGCTTGCATGAAGAAATCAGAAAAGTTAAGTATTTGTAGAAAATAGATTTGTTAAGAATTATGCTTGTGAAATTGCTGCTTAGAAAATGACGAGCCAAAGTTTTATACTGTAAAGTAAAGAAAGATGCATAAAACATCATACTGATCGAGTTCTGTTATACAGAGCAGATTATGTCTAAACCACTTTCACACGGTGTACACTGTACAGTACACGTGTGTCGTGTTTTTTGTTTTTTTTTATTTTTTCATTGATGTCGAATAAATTAAAATTGAATTACAGAAAAGAAACATCTCAAAACAATACTGAAAAAAAATGAAAGAGGATCGATACACATATTTGAAAATATGAAAATGCATTTTTAAGTAAATTATAAAAAGTTAATATTTACAAAACAATTTAGCGCAGATTTGTTAAAATTAAAGATTACAAAATATAAATTAAGTCATTGGCGATTTATCATTCCAGAAAAGAGGTTAAGACAGATGAGTTGGGACAAAAAGATTAGGAAGACAAAAAGCATAATACAATCAACATTTTAAATGAAATGCAAATAATTTATTTTCAGTACATCTATGACCATGGATACATAGACACATATAATTAGACAAGAAAAATTATCAGAGATAACGAAATGAACCCTCACTTCGTGTCCGACACGATAGATGAAGTTTTAGATTTAGAGAGCTAGACAAACCAGGATACTATATACTATTCACTGTAGTATTAGAAGATAAGTAGTAGTAAAAAAAAAAAAAAACTATTAAGGAGCACTGAGGAACGTTACAAGTATACATACAAAGTAATTTTTAAATAGCTAAAACATTTCTAAATTACACTTACCAAACTCCACGAAATCCGAAATGTTTTTCTCTCTACGCAGAGTTGAATTGCAACATTCATCAAAAAGAACCAGGAGAACATCGAGCAAGGTTTCAATGCTGAACGCTTCTTCATGGCCCCCAGTCACGTAAATCCGCTCCAATTCTTTCAAACGTTCCGCGACAGACATGTTGGCGAACAACAACAGCTACTACAGTAGGCAACTAAATTGAAACCTAATTAAAAAAAACAAGGCAAGTCTTCTGACATTCGGGAATGTGAGATTTTACCCTTGGTATATTTAGTCTCATCTGAGCGACTGTAGTAACATGGCCGACAATTATGAATTATGGGAACATGACGTCATACTGACATTGAACACAGTAGACAAGAACATAACCCTCTTTAAATAGAATTCCCCCTAAAAGGTACTCTGTAGGAAGCCAAAATTTCATTTTTTATCAAGGAAAAATAAATTTAATTTTTACAATGTCCCTAATATTTATACTTTTAATTCTTTTCTGCACTAACTTTGTTATTACAAATTATATAGCTTAATTCTAAGGTTTGCAAATTAGTATAGTGCTACTTTTTTTTAGACGGAACACTTTTGTATCATCACCTCCTTGACTGATAAAGCACGACACTTTAAAACCAGAGCAGACAGTTTAAAAGAAATCGGCATAAAAATAACTGACACTCACGTTTAATAATTTACTCGCTTCACTTTTTGTATATTTTTTGTGATACTTCTGTGAAATGATACGTGTGTGTATATATTTATAAATACCAAAATGTACTGCTTTATGAAAACTGTGAACTTTTTATTTTAAATGACTTTGTGTCACAATGTACTTGCTTATTTTTCGTTTTCTTAAAGTCTTAAAGTGTTTAATTAATTATATTGCATATTGATTTTCATTCTTGAATTAATTTTTCATAGTTATTCCCTTTTTCTTTGAAATTTATTGTTATGATTTTAAAAAGTAATGAAAACTGACATTTTTATGCTATAATTTTTTATATTGAAATAACATAACTTTTTAAGTTTTAAGATTATTCCTGAATATTTTTAAAAATTCTATGCTTTAGAGAAATTTAAATTTACTTACCTTGCAAAAATGTTAAACATGCCAATATGTCTAAATGTTTCTCATTAAAACAAATATTTCATTAATTTAAATAAAAAAAAACCCACATGCAAAAAAATAGAAATTCATTAATGTTTTTTAATACAGAAGATTTACTTCCATACTTTTTTTACTTTAGTTTTTTTTAGCTTGATTAGTCATGCAAGAACACACTTTTTGTAGTTTTCTTGCCTTGTTAAAAAGAGCAAAGTGTAGTATCTGTTTATATCAGCTCCTTTATGATATCTGATATCTCCTCGAAATAGAGAGAAACTAAGACAACAAAAAACCTGATAGATAAAGATTTTATAAACTTTTTAATAAAGTACTAAAAACTTACTGGGATAGGTAGTTGAGCAAAAACAGTAAACACTAACAGGACGGATGAATAAATAGATATCGATAGACAGAATCTGGGAGATACATTAAAAAAATGAAAATGTATCAAGCTAAAAAACAGATACTATACTACTCTTTGCTCTTAGCCAAAAAGGCCGAAAAATGACATTTCGACCGGGACCACAGAAATTATTGCGTCTAGTTATTTTGGACAGGGAAATACATTTCCTCAAGCATTGGTAAAATTTAAAACTCATAAAATTAAGAGTTTTAGGTTCCCAAATAAATCTCCAAGAAAGATGGGTAACTATCCAACGGACAACTTATGTCATTCCAATATTAAAATTTATATAAGAAAAAATGTAATGATTGTTATGTTAACTAACACGACTACTTACTTAAACTGTTTAAATAAAAATAGATATGATTCAATTTTTTGTCTTTTTCTTTTCTACGCCTTTCAAAGTTTCTATTCATCCAAATTTAAAAGGCGTTAAAAACAAACTACAAACTAACAAACACATTGTTTTTAATTTTTCCTATCTGGAGTGATTACAAAACCTCATTTAAAAAATAAAATAATGTTAAAAAAAAACTTCATCAATGTTTTACTTAAAATTTTGAAGATTCAAACCAAAGCGTATTTCACAGACTTCATAATCTTTTAAAAGTCCGTAATAAATACAACAGAAACAATGATTTCTTGTCTTGATTTATTGATAAATGTTTGAAATAACAGTAAATAAAATAACAATGTTTTTCAATTCATAACTTCCTGGTTTCAAAGTTCATTTGAGAAGTGGCGTATGATCATGCAAGCCCGGGCGAAGCACATTGCCATGTGTACTTTGTTTTTATTTTTTAATTTAATTTATTTTTTATTTTTAGAGTTATCAGTTTAGGTTAAGCAAGTTAGTTGTGAAAAAGAAACGCGTTATCACATACTTTTCTTCACTTTAAAATGCAATCAACTGGTAAAATACCCTAATTTTCTTTTTTTTTTTTTCTTTTTTTTTACAAATATGGGTTAGTTATGTAAGATAAACCTTTTAGTTTTTTTTACATATTTTCTCAACATAAAAAACTGATTTGATTTCTCGTACATTTTTGGGAAATCAGTAATAAGGCGTAAATGATTGGTCACTTTGCTATCTTTATTACATTTTTGCGCGTGTACTTGTTTGTGTGCAAAGATCATTGTCATACTCATAACTACGTGTGCGCGTGTGTATGCGCGCACGCGCGCTCGCCCGCATGATCATATTGTTTACTTTATAATATTGTCTTTGATAGCTATTTTTTGTCAAAGGTATCCCTTGAGTCTTCTTGCTTATCCATTAAATTTTCACATATTTTTAACGTAGAGAAAATAAAGAGAAGCTAAAGCAGGTGATAAAAGTGATAAAAAGTGATAAAAATGCATAATTTTAAATTAAAATTGTTTAGAATATTAACGTTTTACTTTTCATTTTTAACACAACTTCCTTAACTTTTTTTTTGTCTGTTCATGAAACTGATAACCCCAAAAAGTTTGTTCCATTTATTAAGTAAGTTTTCTAAAATTAAGTGAACGAACTTTTTGGCAAACTACAACTTAGTGACAATTACTGGGGCCAATTTCCACACATTTTATCAGTCTTTATTCCTCCAAAATTTCAATTCACGAGTGCTTTTTTTTTAATTAATTATATTTTTATAAACTATTTTCAGTCATTTTATCTCCAAAAACAAAAAGTGGTAAACGATTTTGTGTTGTCTTATTTTCAACCACAAAACAAAACATTATTAAAAAATATTTCCCAGCTTAGTTATAAAAAAAAAATATTTAAAACATTTGAACATTACACAATTTTCAATTTTGTATATATACTCTTGTTTAAAGAAGAGTATGAGGGATAATGAAGAGTTCTTGGCCTAACCAAGTAGTAACCCTCTGAAAAGATTTCTCATGTTTTTGGACAACTTTTGGAAAGTGGATCAGGTCAAGAACTTTACAGCACCTTTCCTCTCGAGTATATGTCCCACTGTATGTCATATGAGGATGCACTTTGTACTGCTGTTTAAGTGTATAATTAATTTCTGGAGGGTCTTTTTGTGTGTGTGTGTGTACCTGAAAGTAGTGTACAAGTACAGCGTAACATTCTTTGTGTGTGTTATTGTTAGTAGTGCCTAAAGTAAATTCTCTATGTCATATATGTGCACTCGTGCTTGTCATTCTGTATGAGTAAATAATTTGAAGTATGTTATTGTTAGGTAAGATTTCTGTATATTTTTCCTCCGTATTTGGGGTCTCTCTCTCTCTCTCTCTCTCTCTCTCTAAGTGAATTATAAAGCAGTTTTTCTGTTAAAACAGGCACATCAACTGATTAGACAATCAGAGAGAAATAAATACTAAAAATAAGTCTTTACTCTTTAAGATTAAAAAAAAATATGAAAAAGATTTAAATTAAGTTACTGTTTAATTTGTAAAGACAAAAAATCTTACGACTATTTTTTGTGTAAATAAAAAAATACCATTTTAAAAATGTCAATTTTTAGATCATTTATTTATTCTATTTCTACTACAGTACGATATTTTTGTTTTTGTTTATTTTTTTTTTTTGCACGTGAAAGAAGAGGAATTTTGTCAGGTATCTTGCCCTAAACGCAAAAAACTGCTGCTATGATGGTACCGCTATGACCCTAATAGGTTATAGGACTCGTGATCATGATGCGTCAAAAATGAAAAGCTTATGTGTAGACCGAGAACCGAGTATCTGTAACTAACTCTATCTAGGATCAAAGTGTTGTTACTGTTGTTCCTTAAGATCTCTTCTTGCGATCTCTTCAGTATATGTGTGCACTCTGTGAATGCTTGAAAAATGTTACCGAATGTAGCTATCAATTGCGTATTCATTCATTTCTACGTAACAGAGTTGGGCAAAAAAGCCATGAAGAAAAAAAGTTATAGGGTCTGTAAGAATGCTAGAGAAAAACGAAAAGAAAAGTCAGAGAAAAGGAATGAGAAAAAAGGTCATAAACAGACTTACTGTCTTTACTTTTTTAAAAGTGGGTGAAGATTTAAATGTTTATTTTTTTAGACACTACAATACTTATTTCTAAAAAATAATAACAAAAGTAATCAATGATTTGTTCATAACATATTGTGAAATATTAAAAAATATTCTCCAAATAATCTGATTATAAAAATATTTAGCATTCTTATAAATGATAGGAGACAATATAGTAAAAAAATGTCTCAGGTATATCTGTTCCTATACAACCACCAAAGTTAAACAATGTCAAGCCTGGTCAGTGCTTAGATTGTCAACTGCTTGGGAATACTTGATGCTGTAAGCCTGGGTGTGTTGGTGGTGTAATGGAACTGGAAATCAAAGAGCTAAGTTCCAATTCCAGTTAATTTCATTATATTCTACATATGGGTTAATTAGTAGGGTTTTTATCAGTAAATAATTATTATCTTCAAAAACTTCTTACAATTTAAAAATATTTGTTGGCTTTAAATAATCTGCAAATGGTTGATAAACCATAAAAAAAAAACAAATCAATGCCTCAGGTAAAATATTTGTTTACAAAACAGTCAATTCAAATTAATCTTTATTCAGGAAAAGTTACTAATGATAACATGAGGATATGTTAATGTCATTCAAACATAAATATATCATAAGATGATATTCAACCATGAAGATATCATAAGTTGGTATTCAACCTTGAAGGTGAT